GAGTAAAGTGATTCATTCATCTTATAAGAACAGAAAAAAGTATGAGGAATTTTTTACGTAGTACATCATGCTCAATAAAATAATATTGCATAGATATGAAGATTGAATGTTAATTTGATTGATGCTAATGGTTTGCTATAATTTAATTTGAATCTATGTAGAAGGGAATTATAACTGTTCCTTGTTATTTTTGTGCACCATGACCATTGCGTCTGTACTTAATGAACATTTTACCAAGATTGGTTGCTTTGTATGTGATTCAAATGTTGTGTGTGCTTGTATGTGATGTAGTTGTTTTTTAGTTTCTTTTCTTATCTAAGAAGATTTTGATTGACTTGTGTATGTCTAGGTTCTTCTGTGTTCTGCTACAATCAATGACATTGTCCAGAATTTTGTTTCGCGGATAGTTAAGCAGGATTATAATACACTTTTTGTGAAGGAACTATCTTTAGATGCCGTAAAGCAATATAAAGTTCATTGTCCTGATGAGCTCTCTAAGATTGAAGTGAAAAAAGTTTACATACTCGAAATAGGAGAGAATCTGGGGCAAACTATAATATTTGTGCGCACAAGAAATAGTGCAAAAATGTTACATAAATCACTTGTTGTCGCTCCCGTCGCCCCAAGTAAGGGAGTCGACAAGGGAAAAAGGAAAGTGGTGAACATTGTTAAAAGGAAGGTCCGATCTGCAGCGGACATTCCTGCCGAGGAGCTTGCTAGGAGGACTGGCGGCCCGGTTATTAAGGATGTGCAGGAGAATGCCCAGAGTTTGGCGGTCAACCCTTATGCACCTGAAGTTATTCCTCCTAAACCAACGGCTTCTGGAAGGAAGAGGGTTGCTAGCGAGGATTTAAGCTCGCCTAAAGGAGGAATAACTTCAGGTGCAGAAGGGTTGATCTCCACCCTAACCCTTTTAGCTCCTTTAGGCGAGCTTAAATCCTCGCTAGCAACCGTCTTCCTTCCATAAGCCGTTGGTTTAGGAGGAATAACTTCAGGTGCAGAAGGGTTGACCGCCAAACTCTTGGCATTCTCCTGCACATCCTTAATAACCGGGCCGCTAGTCCTCCTAGCAAGCTCCTCGGCAGGAATGTCCGCTGCAGACCGGACCTTCCTTTTAACAATGTTCACCACTTTCCTTTTTCCCTTGTCGACTACCTTACTTGGGGCGACGGGAGCGACAACAAGTGATTTATGTAACATTTTTGCACTATTTCTTGTGTGCACAAATATTATAGTTTGCCCCAGATTCTCTCCTATTTCGAGTATGTAAACTTTTTTCACTTCAATCGTAGAGAGTTCATCAGGACAATGAACTTTATATTGTTTTACGGCATCTAAAGATAGTTCCTTCACAAAAAGTGTATTACAATCCTGCTTAACTGTCCCCGAAACAAAATTCTGGACAATGTCATTGATTGTAGCAGAACACAGAAGAACCTAGACATACACAAGTCAATCAAAATCTTCTTAGATAAGAAAAGAAACTAAAAAAAAACTACATCACATACAAGCACACACAACATTTGAATCACATACAAAGCAACCAATCTTGGTAAAATGTTCATTTAAGTACAGACGCAATGGTCATGGTGCACAAAAATAACAAGGAACAATTATAATTCCCTTCTACATAGATTCAAATTAAATTATAGCAAACCATTAGCATCAATCAAATTAACATTCAATCTTCATATCTATGCAATATTATTTTATTGAGCATGATGTACTACGTAAAAAATTCCTCATACTTTTTTCTGTTCTTATAAGATGAATGAATCACTTTACTCTTTTAAATATACTTCACAAGTTGCACAAGGGCTCAGGGAGAGCATGACCTTCCATGAATTGGCAGGTGTTCTACCCGAACAGGTTGAAGGATGGGTGACGGTAATTTAAACAACATGTATACATGGATGTGTTGTCCCTGTGGATTGATAAATTCTTGCATAGATTTGATCTACACAAGTCATATAAATAAAACCAAAACATAAACTAATACATTATCATTTTAAAAGTAGTAGATTGACACATATATCATGTAGTTATTTAATGTAAAATGACGATGTGTCAGTGTGTACTTAGCTTAGGCTATGCAACTTGTAGACTAAGTCTATGCCAGAATTTCTTGGATGGATGAAAATGCCATGCACACAAGCACACTACGCAAGAAAGAGTTCAACAAACCTGACAGTTAGAATTGAATTTTTCTATTCCTTTCATTATCCTCAGGGAATCATCTTTAAATCCATCCTGCAAAGTTTACAGTAATTACGCAAGTTAGGGCACAGCATATTTAGAAACCGAACTGCGAATACCTCTGCTTTAAAAAACAAAAGAAAATCACAATACTAATTCAGTAAACCATAACAATTCCCTGAACCTAAAACTAGGTCCTAGGATCTCTAGAATACTTACTAGAGAGTAATTACTAACTAGAAAAAGATATATATTATCAAGAGTTAAAACCTTTGATTGAAATAGCGGCGCTATAGCGCGCGATAGCGGTTCTGGTGCGGGTTGCGGCACCCAGCCGCAACTTTCGCACCGCGACGCCACAGTTTCCGGTAGCGGCAGTGGCGGCCAACAGCTCTTGCAGCGTTATCAAGCCGCTACAGGGAAAGGAAGAGGAGTTGCAGACGTTAATGGAGAAAACGAAACGCTGAAAGTACGGTGGCTGTGTTTATTAAATTAGATTATCATTTAAGGGTATAATGGGAAAAAGGAAGGATAAATGAAGGGTAAAATAGATATTTAACTTTAAAAGCCAGCCATTTTTTTTTTAAAAAAAAAACTTTAAGTTTGAATCAGTCATCAGGTCACGTGCACACCTGCCACGTACACATCTCTTTGCTGTCACACTCCTTGTTGTCCCGTACACTTCTCTTTGGCTGTCACACACATCTGCTTTTCAGATATAAGTCTATATCTACACGTTTCCTCTTTTTTTTTTTCATTGTTGATAATATGCTTTCAATTCCTCCATTTTAATAATTATTTTAAATCTTTTAAAAAAAGTTTTTGAAAACTTGTAAATATATAATTTAAACAAGATATAAATTAAATTAGAAAAGGGTTTGTTTTTAAAAAAGGGTTTATTTTTAAACTTTTGAAAATTTTCAAATTAGAATCACATAATTTTTTAGATGTGATATATAATTTAAAAAAGTGTAGAAAAGATATAAAATTTTCAGATATTTTATCTATTTAAATTAGAATTAGATGATATTAAGTATTAGTTTAAAGAATATTTTTTTATATAAGGGTTTGTTTTATTAAAAATAAAAAATGTTAGAATGTAAGTGTCAATAATCAAGAGAATAAAATGAAAAAATTAATTATATTACTTTTTATTAAATTTAATAAAAGATACAATAAAAATATTTTCCAGTTTAATGTAATATAAATGCATATTATCAAAGATAAAATAAAATATAAATACATGTAAAAAAAAAAATATATATATATATATATATATTTACTTGCATTTGTTTTTTATATCTTGCTGATGAAAAGAGAGGGAAATCTTGTTTTCTTCCCTCGTCTTTTTCATCATTTTCTTTCCGTAGACTTTTGCTAAGAAAAGAGGCAAATATGGTTTTCTTTCTGTAGTCATCTTCTTTCCCTCTCCTATTGTCCTAAAAGACATTGATGAAAGTAATGAATGGTTGGTGGGAGAAGTGGGTGAAGATGCAGAAAATGAGTTTGTTTTTGATGATGATACATTGACTTGGGGAGATGTTGCTAATGTAACTGGGGCTAATGAGCCTATAACTTACACTAGGCAGCATACTAGATTCAGGAAGGAAGCTGCCTCTATGCCATCAAGCTCTAAGGGAATAAGGGATGAACAGATTGAAGAAGGTGATAACCAAGAAATAGAAGATGAGGATGAACAAATCTACAAATTTAACACAAGTGAAGAAAGTGAGGGTGGAGAAGAACAAGGCTTTGAAGAAATGTTTGATGATGATTCTGATTAGTTCTTTTCCTTCTTGACTTTGATAGAGCAATTTGTATTTGACTCTACTTGGATCCTTTATGTTCCTAGAATATTATTAATTTAGTTTCCTTCAATGAACTAGTATGTTGCTTCCTTTATGTTCCCTTTAATCCTTGTTTTGAATGTGTAGTATCATACTTTTCATTACTTATTTCCTCCTATTTTGGGTGATTTCTTATCTTTTAGCATTTATATAGCATTAATATATGTGGTATAATTTATTATAAGTATTTATATGGACTTCACAGTAGCGGTTTTACCGCTACCCGCTATAGCGTTTTTGGGGTCGGCCGTTACCCGCTATTTAAAACTATGGTTAAAACAAGCGGTCTACTAGTGCACTCTTCCTCTTTATCCATCATTAAAGGAGGAGAGTCACAACTTACCATTTAATTGTAACTTATTCTATTAAAAAACAAGGGTGTTGCCAACTCCCCAAAAGATTGTAACAATAATAAGCTCAGGGAGAATGATAAGTCTATGTACTTGCCTAGTCCAAAGATAATGAAACCTCAAATTCTAAATAAACAACATTTCATTATCACGATAGAATTACCTCAGCAAGCATTTGATCAGCCTCGTCAAAAACAAGAATCTTCAACCTTGTCACCCCAAGTTTCTTATAAGCCATCCACATATTAATCGTGCCAGGGGTCCCAATAACCACTTGAGCCATAATCGGTGCCCGTTTCGCTATCGGCAAAGCATCCCTACTGTCTGCTGGTATAGCACATTCTGAGCTAATCCCCGTGTACTTTCCCATCTTTCGGAGAACTTCAGTATTCTGCCACACAACACAATAATCATCAAGCTACAACTAACACAGTCACAAATCACAATGTTCGATAACAGTGATTAACAAACGAATAAAAAAAAAGGAAAGTTCACCAATGCCGGTTTGTTTTAGAATCATCTATGACCCAGTGTTTTTTTATCACATATGTCCCATTGATTTGTAAAATATAAAAAAATCACGAGGAAAAGTTCGATAACAGTGATTAACAAACGAATAAAAAAAACAAACAAACAAGAAAGTTCACCGAAGCTGGTTTGCTTTAGAATCACCTATGACATATGTTCCATGGTTTGTAAATGTAAAAAATCACGGGAGCAGATAAAAAAACATATACTTTTGCAAACCACACGAGTGATAAAAAATAATCAAAGGCATAGATGATTTTGCAATAAATGGTTTGTTTTAGAATTACCTATGCCTTGTGATTTTTTTTTATCACATATACCCATGTGGTTTGTGAAAAAAAAATTACAGCTGCATGTGTGATAAAAAACATAACTTTTTGCAAATAGACATGTGATAAAAAAAACAACGGGATATAGGTGATTCTAGTAAACCACGCAGGGCATTGCTGAGCTTTTCCAAAAAAAAAAGAAGAAAAAAGAAAAACAGAACCTTACCTGAATAGCCAACTCCCTGGTTGGGCAAATGCAGAAAGCTTGAGGAGCCTGCAACTTTGGATCAACTCGACTAAGCATACCAAGAAGGAAACACGTGGTTTTTCCGGAACCGTTATGCGCATGTGCGACCAAATCCCTATTCGGAGGATTCAAGATCATAGGCAAGGTTACGACTTGGATCTTACTAGGTTTCTGGAACTTCATCTCCACGTAGAGTCCCTTCAAAAGCTCCGGTGAGAGATTCAATTCTTCGAAGGTGGTAGCTGACGTGTACGGAGTGTCGCCGGACGAAACCTGCACCGAAATCCAAAACCCTAAACCGTCAATTTCTCGCCGAGAAAGAGAGAAAAGAGAAATCGAGAATGGGGATCGAACCAACCGCTTGGATGTTGGAGTCTTCAGGCTCGTCCAAGAACTTGGGAGAAGGCTTCTTGTTCTCGTCGATCGTTAATACATCGATGTTGAACGACGAGGTTGCTGTCTCGGAGCTCGGCGTTGCGTTGGTTTCTTCATCTACTTCGTCGGCCCAGCTCTTAGGCGAGGAAGCCGGCGCCGGCGCCGGCGGATGAGCATTGCTGGCGGAGGAGGTTTCAGCGGTGGATGGTTTTGCCATAGCAGTAGACGAGACCGAGTGAATAGTAAAAAAGGAATATAAAATTCGCAGTTTCAGAGGGAAGGAGAGGGTAATGGATTGAGCCTTGGCGGTGTGTGAAGAGTAATTAAATAAAATAGATACATATACTACTAATATATATAAAGAGAGAGGGTGCTAATTTGGAAAGATTTTCTATGGATTGAAATTTTAAAGGATTTCGTAATTCTAATACAAAAAAAATCTACTAATATTTAATTATGATTTTGAAGGATTGAAAAAAATCACTTAATATTTGATTAAGAATTTAAATGATTATTTTAGAGTGTAGTCAAATCCGGTGGTATTCAACAAGTATTTTAAATAAAGAAAAAAAAATCTTGTGATATCAAAATATACGATGATTTTAGTTAATTTTCTATTAATGTAAATTTTATTAGATTTTTTAGTGAGAAATACAGATATGATGTCTTTTTTACAATCTTATACTAACCTCTATGTTTTCTTAAGCTCAACCGCCCGAACTCGGCCGTTAAGGACTCAATCTTGCGCCCTTTCTGTACCAAGTCATCATGCTGGGTAGAACAACGGCTGTCAACAGCAAGAATAGCCTCCCGGGTTCCCACGATCTGACCGTTCATTACCTGTTTGAGTTCTGCATCTGGTTTCACATAAGATTTGTTTCCTGTCCAATTCGATAGTCAATGTACTGCCAATAGGGCATTGCAGAGCTACAACTGTTGAGTCAATGGTTGCCTAGATAGACTGATTTGTTATGAAGAATGTTTCTGGAAACTCATGTAATTGCTTTCTCTTTTTTGGGAGTGGGAATAGAATAGTTTCAAAAATCTGGTTGATCTGATTTTTCTTCCTCTGGATTCATGATGTTAGTTATGATCTTTTAATTTTGTGGTTGTCATCGGTTCTGAAATTCATTGTCAGCCTTTTGATTTTTGAAATTGAAAATTGTTTTATAGCTGATGATATCCTTCTTATGCAGATCATGGGGTCGGAAGTTGATGATTCTAAGTTTGATGGGAAGATGTGTTTGTGTGTGTGTGAAGGCACCTTTTGGAAGTGATTCTAACATATATAGCAGCAGCATATATTTTATTTTTGTAGGTGGATTTGACATGAGCTTCGGTAGAATCACTGTGCCTCTGCGCTAGTTAAGCATATAAGAGCACCGGCTCCACTGGTTAATCTTTCTATTTTTATAATTTATTGAATCTTTTTTATGCGCTAGTATGCCTCTTCTTTTTGTGTCTCTGTCTGAATTCATGACATGGATATTGACTTTTGTAAAGGTTTGTTAAGATATTTTGGTTGAAGTCTTGCACTTCTTTTTCAAAAATACCTTCATATTTTTCTATAATAGCTATCTTCTCTTAATGTCAGGTTTGGTTATATATGTTGGTACTTAGTATAATGACTCTTGATTGTTGGCTTTGCATTCCCGAGGGCATGGATTTGAAACTTTCAAGTCTTTATTACATATTAGAAAACTATGTAATGAGTCAATAATGTACATGATGTAACGCATAAGTTTCAATTAATAGGTTCTGATTTGACATGAGAACAATAAATAAATTTATTACAAACTTGTCAGCTTCTGATTTGATCACAAGCTTCATAAAATTCTTTCATTCATGAAAAATATTTTTTTTTCCATGTCTTATATTTCCATATCTTATATCCATATCAAATAAAATTAAAAGAAAAAGGGTAAGAAAGTCGGTAATATATTTTTTTCCCCTAGATCTGTGAAGAATATTGTCTGTGTTGTGTGAATATTATGTCACTCATGAAAAATATTAGTAAAATACTTTTTGATATTTTTCTTTAATAGTCTTTATAATTAGATAAAACATACTGTTAATTAATAAAAAAATGAGTTTAGATTATTTAATGAGATTAATATGAAATTTAATTTAATAATGAAATGTTAAAAATTATATAAAAATATGTTGGTAGTTGCTGCTTCAGTGGCAGTTGCTATAACTCTGATCAGTTGGTGCAGCAACCACTATTCTGGTCAAGAAATCCAAAATTTCCGAGTCATCAGAGGTCAGTAAGTACCCATCTATATTGTTAGTATTAATAAGACAATTAATTGTACTAACAAATTCAGCAGCACTAAAAAGAACACCTTGCTTTTCCAAACAAGAATCTTAAAATATTTGGTATGCTTCTTCGGTTCAAATGCTCAATGGTTATCATAGCTGAGTGTAATATATTAAATTACCAAAGTTCATATTGCTTATGTGATATTACTAATTTTGTTTCATTGAAGAAAATTCTTGGAAAAATAAAATAAACCATTGTTGATCTTTCATACCACTTGACAACTTGGTAATTGTTTTGCATTTAGTTTTCATTATTCTCCAACTTGGTTTTCTGCATTTAGATTTTTTAAGACAACGTAGATCATTCATTGATGCTATTATTGCCAGTATTGCCTGAAGGAAGACTTGAATTCTTATCTTGAATGTGAAACTGTTTGTTTAAATTAATTACTTTTTTTTGAAATTAAAGATTCAATACAAAGTATGCAAAGATTGTGGAGGTTCTGGTATATGTTCAGAATGCAATGTTGAAGGATTCGTGCTTGAGAAACTTTATGAGGAAATGCTGAGAGGGCAAGTCTGCAAGCTAAGAATATGGCAACTCGATTCACGGCTGGGTACTATTTTCTTATCTCTCTTTTTCTATAATCTTCAATTTTTGAGTTTAGCCAATTCAACTTGATTACTTACACCAGGCTTCCGAAGAAGTGGAGCTATTATACAAAGCACTCTTTTGCTTGATCCTATTCAACCTGTAGCTACTAGTTTATCTCTACTTTAACCAGACAGTTGTCCTAGTATATTAGGGAAATATGATTATGTATGCCAACTATGAACATTTTGTTTTCAACTTAGTGTTTGTCAGACTTTGTTAAATACCTCAATATTTAATCAAAGATTTTTGTTTCATTTTTATGGTTTTATTTAGCACGCAGATTTGAGACAACTAATCTATAGGTTTAATTGTAGTATTCAGGTAATAGAGGAAGGAAATTGAAGGAACACGGTTGGGAATGCAACTTGAGTCAGCTTAGTTAATTCTCTGTGATTTTATACTGGGCTTGATTAATAAAATGATTTGATATCTAAGCAGTTAAACTCCAATTCAACCCCAAAGCTTAAGATGTTTGGTATAGGTCACATTAATGATTTTATATTATATTTTTTTAACATGTCCCCTCACACAAGAGTCTATTATATTTGAAGGGTGGACAATTCACAAACTACCTACTTGTGTTAAGAAATTCCTCAAACTTGTAATCATTTGGTCACAGAGGCTCTGATATAATGTAAATGGCCAATTTAACCCAAAAGGTTAAGTTGTTAAGTAAATGTCACATTAATAATTTTATGTTATATCTCTCTAACATAAGCTTAAGCTGAGCTTATTTATGTAACACCCCGTTCTAGAACCGGTTTGTTAACATCGCATTATGATATTAAGCGCAGTTACAATCACATGGGTTCAATTAAAATCCGGATAAATTTTTCATTTTAAAACGTACCGAACTTATAATACCCATTTTCGTGATCATAACCATATTACCATGCGGAAACAGATAATTTAAGCTTAACATCATGTTCACAACTTCTACTATATTGTAGGTTTCTTCATTAGCTATGTGTGGCTTCAAACCGCGCTCAAATCAGAGCACTGTAGCCCAAGTTAGGACAAATTGAAGCAACACAAGAGAGTGTTGGTCACAGGCCCCGCGCGCTTCAGCGCGCTACCGGGCGCTCAAGCGCGCGCTATCGGGCGCTAAAGCCTCCATCTGGGCGCTTAAGCGCACGGAGGCAGTAAGCATCAGACATTCCAGTGTGGATGGGCGCTTAAGCGCGCAACAGGGCGCTCAGGCGCGCAACCCTGGGCGCTTAAGCCCCACCCTGGGCGCTAAAACACGAGGGGGCAGTAAGCCACCCAACTTTCTGCAGCAAAGGGCGCTTAAGCGCACGCCAGGGCGCTCCAGCGCGCAATCCTAGGCGCTTCAGCCCCCACTTGGGCGCTCCAGCGCGAGGAGGCAGAATGCATTGGCACTCGCAGGGGCAGCAGGGCGCTTGGGCGCGCTCCTGGGCGCTTAAGCGCGCTGCCAGGGAATTCCAATTCTCACATTTTTCAAGTCCAAGTCTAGGGGAAGGTGCATCCCCCCTTTACAAACCCCAATTATCCATGCCCCAAACTAAATCCTAGCACTCATCCAACCTCTCCTCATGAGATTTAGCTAGAATTTGTGCAGCATGACCTTTGTTTTCTCATCGTTTACCAGTTTAAACAAAGGGTAACTAATTGATTTTCAGCCCAACCAATTCAACAACTCAATACCTAACAAGCATGCATATATTGAATTTCAAGTAGGCATAATTTACATTACATATCCTTTACAAATCATAGAACTTAGCTTACAAAACACTATGATCATTCCCTTGGCTCCCATCAACAAAAGGTGTAACCAAAGGCATGAGCATAGGCTAAGTTTATCCAATGAATCAAGATATACAAATGACCATGGGCTTTCAAAATAAAATCCTATACATGTCAACTACAAAAGGCATGCATAAACTCAAAAGAAATGCCACATTTCATGCATAATCCAGATATGGCCACTTGCCACCAGAGGCTCCTGCAGCATCCTTACCTGAAAGGGGGTCCCCACAACACGGGGTGAGATATACGAATATATCCAGTAAACCAGGGGTCCTTGGAGCATCTCTCCACCCCACAGTTCCATATCAGTGTAATAGCAATAACAATAATAATGCAATAAATACATATCTATGCAAAGTGCTATACATCTCCAGGAGAACTCCCTCGAGCTCTCAAGTTGTCCTAAGGAAACTCAGATGCAAATAGTCCTACTGGCCAGCTAACTACCAAGTATGATTTACGCATCGTCATGCAACATACCACATAGGGAAACACCATCCTATGCCACACCAAATGCATACACATACGTATAA